TGGAATATGAATATATTACAACTTTGCATTTTAAAGATTTTGAAGAAAAATAACCCATGGGGTCATTTTTGACCCCACTGTGCATCTAAGGGTTAAATGTGTAACTGTGATTATTTTCATGTTGGATTGAAATAAAATATCTCCCTCTGCTGGTACTGCAGCTTACTGCAACTTCTGCAGCTCACGCTTAGCCTCGGTGGGAAATGAACACTGTGGACCAGCGTGTCTATTACACGCTTTGCCATGATACTGGATTGGGAGTGAAGCTATGGAACAAACTTGGTGAGAAACTAGAGCAATCACTCTAGTTTTGCAATATACAGGGAACAAAGATGGCTTTGGGTGTTCTCACCCAGTATTTATCCTCTGTGTGATGTAGAAATCTCAATAATACATGATGAACTTGTCTTTTTCCTTTTTTGTTATTGTATTATTTTAACATATTCAAAATAAAGCCACATGATACCATAACACAAGGTATGCAGAAGAGCATCTTTAAACAAATAGCACATCAAACCTGGAAGCAGATGGGCTACAGCAGCATTAGATCACACTGGGTGCCATTCCTGTTAGCTAAGAACAGGAAACCAACCAATGGTGCAATTCATGCCAACTCGTGCTATGAACTCATTAGAAATGAACAGCAGAAAATTGGAAAAATTGTGTGACGAGTCCTTTCAAAAGAGGCCAACATTCACCCCATTCAAACTGGAATTAAAGAATTTTATGTGTTTTTTCATATTATCTTTAATAAATATTATGTTTAAATAGTTTGCGGATTGCTTTCTATGTTGATTTACATTTTATACAAGTACTATCTGAAAACACATCTACAAGTATACTGTTAAAAAAATATGAAAATATTAACATTTTTACAACATTGTAACAACATAACAAACACATTTACAGCCTGGTTACAACAACTGTTTTGCTAATTTCCTCCTTTAATAAATGCATAAGAGGGTATCCAGTGCAGCCAGCAGTCAGTTTGTGCATGACAGATAAAAAGTACTTATAAACATAGATTAAAGCACTGCATGAATATTTGTGAGTGAATGTGGCTAATAGTGAAACTCACTTTGAATGCTCAGTTAGTGTAGAAAAATACTACAAGTACCAGTGCATTCATTAAAAGGGTTACACAAGAAATCTTTAGAGTCTGATATTACTAAGTAATAATTAGCAACCAAACTCAGTAAACCTATCTGTCTCGTCAAAATGGAAAACAATAACCAAATGCAATCTAGCTACTATATGCATTTTGTTGTTGAGAAACTAATCACCAGGTGGCAGCAGTTATAACTCTTACTGTCTTTATCGTTTGCTTTTAAGGACACAAGAACAAAATTCAGTCAGATGTGAGTTGATAGCCACCTTTGAAAGACAGCTCAAATGTGAATCTGTGTAATGAAAAGATATACTTGATGTACATCTGGATTTGCTCTGTAGTACTGGGTCTGTAGCTGTGTGTGATCCTGACCAGTGTGACACAGTCAACAGTCTGACTTTATTTAACAAAAGTGAATTATTTCTGCAAAGAACACAAACGTACCGAGGAAGCCAGTGATAAGTAAGACCAAGACCAGAGTCCAAACCCAGGATACAGAGGGTCATCAAACGTGGTGTTGAAGGTGTGGAGGTGGATTAGCTTGTCAGAGGAGACTCTGTAAAAAGACAGAATGCCAGCAGGACAGTCCACATACACTGCTACTCTGCCAGAGACAGAGGAAGAAGAGGAACAGGAAGGGATGGATGTTCCTTTTGTATCATGCCAGATCGAGTAACCACCATCGGTGAACAGACTCCAGGACTGAGGATTCCCTCCAAACCAACTGTCATTTCTTTCTCCTCTCCTGCTGATTTTCTTGTAACTCACTGATATATGCACACCTCCACTCCACTCAACCTCCCAGTAACAGCGGCCAGTCAGACCATCTCTGCACAGCAGCTGATGATTCTGGTCAAATCTGTCTGGATAATCAGGATATGACTGATTTTCTTTCATGTATGTCACATTCCTGTTGTTGTCAGACAGTTTAAGGTTTCTGTTTACTGTATCTGTGTTGACTGTGAGCTCACAGAAATCTAATGAAGACAAAAGGACATAATTTGCTCATTATTAACATTTTCATGACAATTAACGTTGGAGATCATCTTCATCCACAGTAAGTTTTGGTCATTTTAATTTTTCCTGACTCATTTTAAAACATACTTACACTTCCTCAGACCTTGTCTGAGCTACTGGACACCAGCAGGCTCCAACCTGAAAGGAGGAGGACTGTCAGGACCAACACAGTCTTTTCACAATGCACTTTCATCCACACACTTCACCTATTTACTGCCAGTGTTGGAGTAATAACTGTGTTCTTCACGAATGCATTTTATATCAGTATTGAACACTTGTAAACAAGCTGAATACACAGGATTAAAGTCTATTTGATCTGTTCTGCTTTGAGTTACCATTCATTTATTTTTACTGTTATCATTACTTTACTATTTCATGAAGTACATGGAATGTTGCTCTACAAATAAAGTTCAGATGACTTGGAAACTTCAAATCCACAATTTGTACACACTAAATGGTAAATGGTAAATGGCCTGTATTTGTATAGCGCTTTTACTAGTCCCGCCTAGGGACCCCAAAGCGCTTTTACACGTCCAGTCATCCACCCATTCACTCTCACATTCACACACTGGTGGAGGCAAGCTACAGTTGTAGCCACAGCTGCCCTGGGGCAGACTGACAGAAGCGAGGCTGCCATATCGCGCCATCGGCCCTTCTGGCCAACACCAGTAGGCGGTAGGTGAAGTGTCTTGCCCAAGGACACAACGACCGAGACTGTCCGAGCCAGGGCTCGAACCGGCAACCTTCCGATTACAAGACGAACTCCCAACTCTTGAGCCACGATCGCCCACTAAATCTGTTGCCTTGTTTCTTCTAATAAAGTAATGAAGCATTCATACAGTAACTATCCAGTTAATCTACTTATGGCTATAACTATTTAGCTTTTTTCCCCTCTTTGTCATTATCTTTGAGCGAAATACATTTTTCCATACTTGAGACTCTGTAGTCTCCAACAGAGACTACAGTCCAGGCTGCTATCTTCAGACTTCAAGTCCAGAAGATAGCAGCCTTTTTCCTGAGTCTCCTGGGTGATTGTAGCTCAGGTCCAGCTCCCTCAGATGAGAAGGGTTAGAAGTCAGGGCTGAGGCTAGAGAAGCACAGCCTTCCTCTGTAATCAAACAACCTGATATCCTGAGAACACAAAAAGAAATTAAGTATTTTATCCCTTTTTTTCTGTAATGCAGTGACCATTACTGTTAAATTACCATTGCTATTTTTATCTGCAAGTATTCATATTTGGCAGAATGTATCTGTTCTGCCAAGTGGCATGGAGAGTGCAGCAACTGCGGGAAGGTTAAAGCTGCCTATATTATATGTCATAAATGAGTTTTGCCAACTTGATGTATAGAAGAGAATAACCTGACCAGCAGGTGATGTGGGCTAGTATTAAGACAAGCTGACCAACACTAGAAAATTTCAGTTTTTACATAAATACAATATTTTAATTTATTTTAATGATAAAGATCTGTTGCTCTCAGAGAAATAGATTCATATCTAAACAATAATAAAAGCCACTGTATAGGAATGTGCCAAGGTTTGTTTTAGACTGGACTAGACTGTTGAGATGTTGAAATCAATAAAGGTACCTGAAAAATGGTACCATAGGAAGAAACAGAATAGATGTGCAACTGGTGTGACACACAAAAAGATTATACTAAATTTAAAGATGACCATTTGATTACGTTAGAGAAACCTGACCTGAGAGTTTCCAGTCTAGAGTGTGGATTCTTCAGTCCTATCATTTTACTCCTAAATCTTGCAGGTTGTTATTATTCAGATCCAGCTCTCTGAGACTAGAGGATTGCAAGCTAAGAACTGAGGACAGGGCTGCACAGCTTCCTTCAGAGAAGTTACAGACACTCAGTCTAAAGAGACAATAAGAGAAATAACATTTTAAGTGAAACAAGCCCAATTAAATACCTTCTGTATAGTCAATACTAGACAGTACAGACATGTATAGACTAGTGCTGTCAGCGTTAATCTCATTAAAATGACGTTAATGCCATAACCGCAAAACGCGGCAAATCTCCGTTAGCGAGTTAGCGTGGATTGCCCTGTTAAATGAGAGTTTCTAGGGTGCAGGAAGGACACCGCAAGCCACAAGACAGTAGTTCCACTCCTGAATCATGCAGGTTGTTGTTACTCAGGTCCAGTTCTCTCAGGCTGCAAGTTTGGGAGCTGAGAACTGACGCCAGGGAGCCAACATTTCGTTCTGTTATGAAACAGCCAGTCAGCCTGAACAAAATGGTGAATAGTAATATTTGTGTTAAAGTGACATGTCAGTAGTTTTTTTAATAAGATGTAGTCCTATCTACCCGTCTAATCTATCTAAAAGTGGCACTAACTCTTACATATCCCACATTACTATTGTTTGAAGAACTGAAAACACAAAAATCATGAAAGCCTAAAATTATCAATGAGAGACCATAACTGCGTGTAAGATAATATATGAAAAAAAGGTAGGTATTCCCCCAGCGTGTCCTTGGTCTCCTCAGGGGCCTCCTTCTCGTGTGACATGCCTGGAACACCTCATGCAGAAGGTGCCCAGGAGGAATCTTAATTAGATGGCCAAAGCACCGCTGTCTCTTTTCAACGTGGAGGAGTAGTGGCTCTACTCTGAAACCCTCTTGACTGAACTCCTCACCCTATCACTAAGGAAGAGGCCAGCCACCTTTAGATGAAGCTAATTTCTGCTGCTTGTATCTGTGATATCATTCTTTCTGTCAATAAACAGAGCTTGTGGTGAAAGTTGAGTATAGGAATAAACCGTTAAATTGACAGCTTTGCTGTTGTGATCAGCTCTCTCTTTACCACGACAAACTGGTACAACATCCCCATCACTCTCCGACACTGCCTTGATACCTCGGTCAATCTCTCACTCCCCTCTCCCTTCAGTCCCCTCTCTCCTCAAGGATCGCAAGCAGAGGAGTTTAAGACCCTGAAATACTTAAACTCCTCTGCTTTGGGGCAGCAACTCATCTCTGACCTGGAGTGAGTACTCCACCCTTTTTTGGCTGAGGACCATGGCCTCAGATTTGAAAGTGCTAATTCCTATTCCCGCTGTTTCACACTCGGCTGCAAATCACACTCGGCTGCAAATCACACTCGGCTGCAAATCACACCAGTGAGAGCTGGAGACCACCACCTGATGAGGCCAACAACAACAAGGCAACATCCTCTCCTAAAAGCAGAGATGAGATTCTGAGGCCACCAAAGTGGAAGCCTTCTGTCACTTGGCTACAACTAGAAATTCTGTCCATAAAAATTATGAATGTATTCAGTGACAAAAGGCTGAGTTAGACACCCACTGAGAATAAGTTTGACTTACTGCCAAAAGATCAGACCAAGCTCCAGGTTTTTGCTTCAGCTACCGCCTATTCCACATTCTGCTTGGACTGCCAGTACCTATCAGCAGTCTCCAAAGTCCCACAGACTAAAAAGGAAGGAGCTGGAGGGAGAGCATTTGGTGGTCGGGCCTTAGCCCATGGGTCCTGGCCGGGTGCAGCCCAAAAAAACAATATGGGCTTCCTGTCCTGTAAGCCCTGCACCCACAGGAAGTGCCATAGAGGTCAGGGGAAATGGGTGTTGGGCGGTAGAACTTTTCAGTCAAACATCTAAATCATTCAATTCAAGTGTTTCAATCATTTCCATAGCCATGGGTGTATAAAATTAAGCATCTAAGCATGTAGATTGGTACGACAAACTTTCCTCACTACTAAAAATTCCACAGTCAACTGCAAAACGGGATTTGCTTTCTTTTAAGTAAGGCAGAACTATATTCATCTGACCCGAGATTGTCTAGTATACACTGTGGACTTCCAAGTCTAGCAGATAATAGGTTCAATCCTGAATCCCGAAGGTTGTTGTTACTCAGGTCCAGTTCTCTCAGTCTAGAGGACTCAGGAGTAAAAACTGAAGACAAGGCCTCAAAACTTCTCTTTGCAAGGGTGCAGAAAGTCAATCTATGTAAAACAACATAGGAAAGACATTTATTTAGCCTTATTTTCTGTTTCACAGAGAAGACTATTCACTAATTTCAAATATCTATACACTTTGTTTTCAATACATGTGTACCTGTGTACTTACAAGGCTTTTCTTGAGGCTTTGACCACAGGCAACAGCCTTAGAAGAGCCTCCTCTGAAGCAGAGTATTTCTTCAGGTTAAACACATCCAGATCATTTTCTGATGACAGTAAGATGAAGACCAGAGCTGACCACTGAGCTGGAGATAGTTTATCTATAGAGAGACTTCCTGATCTTAGAGACTGTTGGAGTCTAGAGAACGATTGTTCAGTTCATGGAGACAGTGGAAGAGATTGATGCTTTTCTCTGCAGTCAGATTCTCACCAATTTTCTTCTTAATGTGCTGGATTGTTTCCTGATTGCTCTCAAAATGTCTTTTTGTGTCTCGAAGCCTCGAAGGAGACCCTGATTGGTCTGAGTTGAAAGACCCAGAAGGAATGGGAGAAACAAGTCCAGGTGTCCATTTGGACTTTCCAAGGCCTTGTCAATAGCACTCTGGTGGAGATATTTTAAATCATTTCTTTCTTTAAACAGTTTAGATCATAAAGGCATTTTTAGCTGATCTTCCAGCAGATTAATACCAGAGTTGATGAAGGTCAGATGGACATGAAGAGCAGCCAGAAACTCCTGAACACTCAGATGGACAAAGCAGAACACCTTGTCCTGGTACAGTCCGCTCTCCTCTTTAAAGATCTGTGTGAACACTCCTGAGTACACTGAGGCTGCTCTGATGCTACAATCCGTCAGGTCTGATTCATAAAAGATCAGGTTTTCTTTCTGTAACTGGTCAAAAGCCAGTTTTCCCAGATATTCAATCATCTTCTTGCTCTCTGAATTCCAGTGTGGATCTGTTTCAGCATCACCATGATACTTGATCTTCCTTACTTTAGACTGAACCACCAGGAAATGGATGCACATCTCAGTCAGAGTCTTTAGTAGCTCTGCTCCCTCTCTAGTCTTCCATACATTGTCCAGAACTGTAGCAGTGATCCAACAGAAGACTGGGATGTGGCACATGATGTGTAGGCTCCGTGATGACTTGATGTGGAAAACAATGCTTGTGGCCTGGTCTTCATTTGTTAATCTCTTCCTGAAGTACTCCTCTTTTTGTTCATCGGTGAACCCTCTGTCACTTCTGTCAACTCAGGAGGAATCTGATTGGCTGCTGCAGGCCGTGTGGTTATCCAGAGGTGAGCATAGGGAAGCAGATTACCCCTGATGAGGTTTATTAGCAACACATCCACTGAGGCAAATTGTGTAGCATCAGTCTGGATCTCAGTGTTGTGAAAGTCCAGAGAAAATCGACACTTGTCCAGACCATCAAAGATGAATATGACCCGAAACTCATCAAAGCTGCAGATTCCTGCTTTTTTATGTCAGTAAAGAAGTGATGAACAAGTTCCACCAAGCTGAACCTTTTCTCTTTCAGTACATTCAGTCACTCCCTTTGTGAGCACTGTTCTGATCTCTTCCTTTTTTTCCAGGTAAACCTTTAAAAATGTCTTCTCGTTTGATTGTTGTTTCTTGCCTGTCTACTTTCCTGGATGATGTTTCAAGCTGTCTGACTTCATGTTCATTATTGACCTCTGTAGTATCCCCATCTGTAATGTAGAGTTCAGCGTAGATCTGATTCAGATGGGTAGGGTTTCTTGCTTTAGCAATGCCCTCAAGGACACACTGAAATTTCATCTTCAGACTGTATTTAAATTTATGCTGACAAACTGCAGCATGGCATTCTGAAAGAACACACACAAAGCAGGATTTTTAAAACTACAAAGGTACATCAAACCTACCACCAATTATGCATTCTCCTAAAGCATGAGTATTTGAATCTATCAGTCAATCAGCCATTTAGTCTTCATTCAGTGGGGTAAATCTTTGGAAGGTTGTCTTACTGCTCTGTAGACAGTCAGCCAGCTTCCCCTGGTTCATTTTTCTTAGGAAGTGCAGAGTGGTCATTAGAAATAAGTCTTTCTGCTGTTTGTTGTCACACCCCAAAAATCTGTCATCCTCACACTCATTGACTTCTGAGTTATCTGGACTCACACTCTTCTGCAGGTTTTTCATTTCATTTTTCCCAAAAGGGATAATATTGTCCTCCAGTTGCTGTAATAGAACGTAAATGAAGAATACAATTAGACTAATGAAGCCACACATCAGATCTATGGTGGCCAGACTGGCGAACCACAGGTTTGCAAAATATAGCATGGGTATGTCTGTGAACTGATCATATTTAAAATATTAGTTTTAACATGGACAAACCCTAAATATGGAGTCCACGTCATACTGATGAGTTCTCCCAGTCCTCAATCCTGTGGATGAACCATAAAATAATTAGCTTATATTATCTCTCATTAAATAGCATAAATAGGAATAAGTTCTTAAAAAAAGTAAACCTTTATCCTTGCTCTGATAAGGGTTTACTTTTCCAGGTCCCACATCTACAGAGTCCAGATTCTACAATGATGTGCCTGCCAACATTATTTAGCACTATAACTTATTACAGTCGCCCTAAACTCAGAACGTCCATGCCCCTTTCAGGGTGAAAACAAGGTGCTATAGCAGCTTTCAAAGAAGCACAATGAACTGTTTAAGAAATTCACTACAAAATATAATTGCTACAGTTAATCATATTTTCTGTGCAGCAGGGAAACAAAAGGACAAGCATTACAATTGTAGATGTCTACCTGCAAAGATCTGCATAGCATCAAATCAATGAATCCGGACCAAGCTTGACATTATGCTGTCCCACCTAATCCTTGAACCACTAGAAATGCCTAATTTTAACACATGTTAATTTGTTATCCTCCTCTATGGGTGCAATAACTGCTCCTGGTTCTACACAGTTTGTCTATCCTTGTATTGTAAGCAGGGAGAAATAGCAAATGATGACCAAACCAGTTCAATTGGTGGAAAGATTATGACAATGTCCTTATATCATCATCTCCCTGAGACATTATGACTCCAAAAAGTTTGAGTTTTAAACTGTGAGGGAAGAAGTATAGATCAAGGAGGCTCATGAGAGACAAATTAGATTTAAAAAAGTTTGTATCTTTAACTAACACGTACACTGTGCTTGAAGCTTCCTGACAGCAGGAAATATGGATTCCTAATATCAGTGTGTGTGTATCTGTGTGTGTGTTAGTTGTGTACATTAGCAAAGCTCTCCTGCCCTGTCACCAGATGTAAGAACCATAACACCACAACCACAAAAAAGACACATCAGAGACATTTTACTGACAACTTACTTCAGCTCATCAGGATCTTGCTTTTTAAACCTATAAATCATGCTTTTTGACTTGTTGCTGTTGAAGGAGACACAGCTGGGTGAAGATCCAGAAGATTGTAGTCTGTGATCAATCCTGAAATGAAAAAGCAATGATAAATGTTAATAAATTACTTTCTGTAAATATTATTATTTTTTAAATAAAAATAAATAAATAAAAAAAAGTATTGTGTCTAAAATCCCTCTCCAAATTTACCTTCCATCAGCACATTTTTTAAAATAAGACTCCATTGGCTAGTCAGTTTTCATGGACACAGAATTTAGTTTATTTCCAGTTTCAGGTCCAGCAGGTCCAATAGAGTGTGGCATGTGCTGCTGCTGCTGCTCAGGCTTCAATACAAAGGACACACAGAGCAGTGATTGTGAATGATAATCAGGTGCTGAGCTCTGATACAGAGAAGAGTCGTGGATAGTTAGAGATCCAAGTCATACCCAAGCCTAGACCTTCACACAAACATCAAGCTGGGGGGAGAGTCACATTATACCTCTGACTCGATTAAAGCTATCAAGCACTGCAGCAGCTTATTGTCCTCAGCACTGAGAACATGCAGGTGAAAGTTTTCACAGCAGAGTAAAGAAACTGTAAGCACTTTGAGGTGCAGTGTCACAGAGAAGTCAGAGAATACAAATCCCCCCAACGGGGAAGGGCTATACTAAAGCTTTTTTTTTTATTACAACACAATAGAATAGAATAGAAAAGAATAACCCTTTATTGTCATTGAACATATACAACAAAATTGTGGATGCTCCATACAAACTGTGACAGAACGAAATATAAATAGTAAGACAGGAGGAGTAAATAACATTAGACAAGAGGTTGCAAAGTGCTTGGATTCAGTGCAAAGAAAAGAGTTCTATTGTCGCAATATACTTTAAAATTATATCCCAAAACTGTGAATGCTCAGCTACTGACAAACAGTGTCAGCTTAGGGAAGGAAAGGCATGGATGCAGTTTGTGTTTGGTCTTCTTTCATATGTATTAGTAAGAGGTTTTCTTTAAGTGGACAAAATAGGGTGATGAGAATAATTAAAAGAATGATAAAATTGTGATTTATTTATATTTGTGTTGGACAATTTACTCTAAATATACATAACTCTAAAACTTTGGCTTTGTTTTGTTACTATTCACTGAATCCTCATCCTGACCTATTCTGGTCCTCTGAGTTATAGGTAGGGGAAAATTAGTTGCCAGTTACAAAACACATACAATAAACTAAAACTGACAAGCAGCCAAAATAGTTTTCACAGTGATACAATGGGTTTGCAGTATTTCTGTTTTTTAGACACATTTCTACACAGACAGCAGTAAAGTCTCTGTAGCTCTGTAACGTCTCAAATAACTTCATGTGTCTTGTACAGATCTGTTACATAACATAATGAAACGTCTGTCAATGGAGCTGATAATGTGATTCAGATCTTTTATTATTAAACGTTTTCTTGAGTGATTCAAATATTATGTTACACCCGCAACAATAACACATTCACCCTCAGTTGTATTCCTGAGAACATAATGAAACTGCTAATGTTTAACAGTAGGCTAATACCATTGCAACCGATCAGTGATCTACTTACTGGACTTTCAGACACAAAATCAATCAGTGTGCAGCTCTCTGGTGTCCCGAGCACTTCAGTATACAACAGCTGTCTTGCTCTGTATGTTAAACCTTTATAGGATGAAGCGAAGGAACAGTTCTTCCTCTCTACATGCTTGCATGTTTTTCCACACCTTCGTTACATCACTGTGACCGGTTTGACAGTGACAATTATTCTTCACAAATTTCTTTGATGAAAGAAAAAGCCATCGGTAGAGGACACGTGAAGTCATTTTTGGACGAATTCCAGCCCGTAGCTGATGTGTCGAATAAACAGAAGTTCTGACTCCGTTACTTGAACATAAGTTACTTGATTATAAGTAACTTGAACATAACTTACTAGTGTAAGTAACCGAACCACTGCTGTTGTCAACGAGCAAAGCATTCAAATCTGCACCCATTACCTTCAAATTGAGGTTTCTCACGGAGAACATCATCTGCTCCGCTGTCATTCTCACAATGAAACTGAAACTCACATAAAACAGTGAGGCGTTTGAGGAATGTCAGAAAAGGCCAGTCGCTCTTTAAAAGATAAAAGACAAATTTACAGGTTTACAGAAACTGTTTCCACTTTCTCAGAAATGCAGCAACTGGTTATTTCTTGAAGTCTGACAGTATTATTCAATGCATTTCTATACTCAGTATTTCTAATATAAATATCACTATGAAAGCAGTCTGGCGTCATGTGTAACGTTACAGGATATATTAGTATTCTTTGAGCTGCAGCCTTAATAAAGAAATTGATCAAGTTTCTATATAAAAATTAAGTTGCTTCCCACATGGACATAAAAGTGGTTTATTGTTTTTCTGTTTGGCATTTCTATATTTTATCATGTCCGCTAAATCATTTTGCCCTGTATCTGTTTGCTTTTAGAGTTTATCTGCTTTATGTTTGTGCTAATTATTTTTACGGTGTACATTCATTTTGACTGCCAGGCTGTGAGCATTGTGTGACGTGCTGAGTGCAGAAAATACCAATCAGCCAATCTGATAAGACCATCCATCCATCTCTCTTCAGTATGACTGAAATCATAGTTTTATTATTGATTAATGTTGTTGCTAAAGTATGTAAATGCAGTAAATGTCAGTACAGCTGAAGCACACAAGTGAGGTCAGTCTGACGGGCTCTTCACAGTCAACTCAACACTTAGTTATTAATTTCTACTCTGCGACCAAAATACAAACTTACAGTGTTGGTCTTGAAATCTTTGCCTCTTTCACTCGTGTAATGTATTTTTTTCTCCTTCTATGATATTATTTTTGTCTTTAATTTAATTCTCATTTATTTAAACTTGAAGTTTTATTTAATTGTAAATGGAAAACTGGTAAAGGGACATAATCTATGAGGATCACTGCCCTCCAATGGACACAATGAGTAACTATTCTATCTTGTTAATGTTTATGTCAGAAAGATATAATTCTGATAATCAGATAATGAAAAAAACAGTGCAGTGCTAATAAAGACAAGTAATGCTCACCATTTTATTCAAAATCTACACAGAGAAATGTGATTTTAAACTGTATTTAAAATCACTTAAAACTATATTTAAACTGTATTCAACTGTTTTAATTCTCCTTGAGAACTTGACTGCAGTGAACGATTAATGACGTATGTAAATCTGTTTTTAAGAACAGTTGTGCTGACAATAGATGGTGTTTCAATACCTGATCAAGAGTTGTTTTCTTTTCTTTAATACATAATCAACTGAGATACTTATATCTACCACATGCATAGTATATCCTTTGTAAAGTACCATATTAAACAATATACTTATCTTACATTAGTGTAATTGTAGTGTGAATTTCACTTAGTGTTTAAAGCTTACTTTTCAGTTTTTATCCAAATATTAGTACAAAACAGTTCTGTAAGTGAAAGTTACAAAAATGCATCTTTCATCAATGAGTCCGTGTATCTGCAGTTACACAGCTTCTCTAACAGAAGGAGATACTTCTACCTGCACAGAACACAGACGCACTGAGGAACCACATGAATGGTGCCAGACTCCAAAGCCAGGATAAAGAGGTTCAGTGAATGTGGTGTTGAAGGTGTGGAGGTGGATCAGAGAGTCACTGGAGACATTGTAGAAGGACAGAGTGCCAGCAGGACAGTCGACATACACTGCTACTCGCTTAGGACCACAAGAAGGGGACGAAGAGGATGAGGGGTGAATGACTGATATTCTCTGATTGTGATACACAGTGTAGCCGCGGGCATTGGAGCAGTCCAGACTCCAGGACTGAGGATTCTCTCCAAATCTGCAGTTTTTACGTTCTCCTTTTCTTCCTATTCCTCTGTAACTTACTGATATGTCAACCTCACCTGTCCACTCCACCTCCCAGTACCTCCGACCATGTAAAACATCTTTACACAGCAGCTGACACCAGTCAACAAATCTGTCAGCATGATCAGGATATATGAAGTTATTTCTCGTATGTGTCACCTTCATGTTATTCATAGACAGTCTGAGATTTTTGTTTATTGTATTTGTGTTGACTGTAAGTTTAGAGAGATCTGTCAAGAAAAGAGACACAATGCAGCGGCAGTTAATCTACCGGCTGTTCCTTTAACACTTCACAATATCAGTGATAATCTTAAGAGAATGACACCAAAATATAAAGACAGCTTAATATTTACTGTTTTATTTTTATGAATTAAAAAAACAAAACGCTTACACTTCTTCAATCCTGGTTTCAACCACTCTGCTCCAGCAGGTTCCACCCTGAAATGACAAGTATCAGCACCATATCTTTCAACATGCAAAAACAGAAATTACATCTAGTGTATCAACACCCATTGTGCTCAGTCATTAACAATAATGTCATCTCATCAACCTTAGGTTTTCCAGTTTCCAGCGTTGATCCTTTACTCCAGTCTGAAGCTCTACTCCTGCATCGTCTGGATGATTGTAACTCAAGTCCAGCACTTTCAGATGAGAGGGGTTGGAGTTCAGAGCTGAGACCAGAGAAGCACAGCCATCCTTTGTGATCAAGCAGCCCGAAAGCCTGGAGGCACACAAAATGAGGCTGGATAAGCTACTAAAGCAATAATACGCTGAGGTACTGTTATCTATCATTTAATTAAGCTGATTATTATCATCACATTTTGTTTCTTTAATTATAATCCAGACCATTAACTTCAACCAATAATCAGGTGTCCCAATAGAAAACGTAATAAAAATAAATATTATAATATAACAATGTAAGCAGAGAAACAGTCATCTTAATTCACAGTGTAAATACTGATTGCAGAGGCTAATCTTAACCTGAGAGTTTCCAGTTTGCAGTGTTGACTTTCCAGTCCAGTGGACAGTGCCTTCACTCCTGTATCCTTCAGGTTGTTGTTATTCAGGTCCAGCTCTCTCAGACTCGATGACTGGCAGGAGAGAGCTGGAGAAAGAGCTTCACAGCTTTTCTCTGACAGGTTGCAGACACCCAGTCTAAAAAGACAACAATGAATAGGACATAATGATTGGTTTGAATAAACAAATAATCTAATAATGAGCATAAAATCTTATCAACTACAGTGGTATGCAAAAGTTTGGGCACTCCTGATAATTTTCATGTTTTTCCTTCATAAATCATTGGTTGTTTGGATCAGCAATAGTGTGCAATAGTTACTTAAACTAAATTAGGCAGGTGCATAAATTTGGGTACCCCAACAGAAAAATTACACCAATATTTAGTAGATCCTCCTTTTGCAGAAATAATGCCTCCAAACACTTCTTATAGCTTCCAATGAGAGTCTGGATTCTGGTTGAAGGTATTTTGGACCTTTCGTCTTTACAAAACATCTCCAATTCAGTCAGGTTTGATGGTTTCCGAACATGGACAGCCCGCTTTAAGTCACATCATAGATTTTCAATAATATTCAGGTCTGGGGACTAAAATGGCCATTCCAGAACACTGTACTTGTTCCTCTGCATGAATGCCTTAGTAGATTTTGAGCAGTGTTTAGGGTCATGGTCTGGCGCAACATATTAGAAAACAAAATTGGCTTTTAAGTTATCTTACTGACAAATCATACATTTTTATACAGATACTTTAAAAGTCTCAGATTATTTGCAAATAATAGTCTCAGATTATTTACAAACTCTACTGTACAATACATTTTTTCCCATAATTTTCTATGAGCGTCATAGTGATGTACAAATACAGGTAGACGTTTTGTTGAAATCACATCCAAGACAATTTGCACAGGATTAAATTAGGTAAGGGTAAAGCACAGTAAGCTAAACTTTTCAGGGGACAGCACTAGTTCAGAATTCACACCTTGTGATTTAAAAGGCACTGAGAGAATTTTTAGATAATGTCTTGTATAAATAACTGGATTAAGAAAACCATGTACCCATAAATTGAATAAATATATTTGATTTATGCAAGCATGTATACTGTAGTTAAGTGTTCTATATGCAATTAGCAATCATGAAGTAACTCAAATGGCTCCAGATGGCCAAATATAAAAATGTTGGTACTTGTATCTGCTTTTAAAGGATCGATAAAGTTCTCTGCTGTGCTGTTTTACTCCCACAGCTATTCCTCAAAGTCACAACATTCAATTTAATTCAGTTTTATTTATACAGCATCATATCACAACAACAGTGGTCTCAAGTCACTTTATATTGTAAGGCATCCCCCCTTCAATAAATCTGTGGCAATGTCGGACTCTCTGGTCCCCTCCCCAATCAGACCAGGAGGGACATGTTTAGCCGTATGTTCTCCTTAAATTGCTGGCTGTCTGAGTGGTGTCCAAGAAACGATATGGGCTTCATAGATAATTGGCAGACCTTCTGGAGGAAACCTGGTCTTGTTAGGAGAGACGGCATTCATCCCACTTTGGATGGAGCAGCTCTCATTTCTAGAAATATGGACAAATTTATTAAACCCCCCAAAATATGACTATCCAGAGTTGGGACCAGGAAGCAGAGTTGCAGTCTTACACGCCTCTCTGCAGCTTCTCTCCTTCTGTTGCCCCCCAAAAAACCCATCTCCATAGAGACTGTGTCAGCTCCCAAACAGACGAAAAACAAACTAAAAACCAGCAATAAACAACTTAAACATAACAAAAATCACAAAGAAAGAACAATACAGTATCCACATCTGAACCAAAGAGTAAAACAGTGAAATGTGGATTATTAAATACTAGGTCTCTCTCCTCCAAGTCTCTGTTAGTACATGACTTAATAATTGATCAGCAAATTGATTTACTCTGCCTTACAGAAACCTGGTTGCAGCAGTATGATTATGTTTGTTTAAATGAATCAACACCCCCGAGTCATTCTAACTACCAGAAATCTCGAAGCACAGGCAGAGGGGGCAGTGTGGCAGCAATTTTTCACACCAGCCTATCAATCAACGAAAGACTAAGACAGACTTTTAATTCATTTGAAAGCCTGATGCTTAGCCTTGTCCACCCCAGCTGTAAAACTCAGAAACCAGTCTTACTTGTGATCATCTATCGTCCACCTGGACCTTACACAGAGTTTCTGTCTGATTTCTCAGACTTTTTATGTGATTTAGTGCTCAGCTCAGATAAAATAATTATTGTGGGTGATTTTAACAATCATGTAGATGCTAAAAATGACAGCCTCAACATGGCATTTAATCTGTTATTAGACTCAATTGGTTTCTCTCAAAATGTAAAAGAACCCATCCAGAACTTTAATCACACTCTAGATCTTGTTTTAACATATGGCATAGAAACTGAACATTTAACAGTGTTTCCTGAAAACCCTCTCCTGTCTGATCATTTCCTGATAACATTTACATTTACAATAATTGATTACACAGCAGTGGAGAGTAGACTTTATCAGAGTAGATGTCTTTCTGAAAACGCTGTAACTAAGTTTAAAAATATAATCCACCCACTGTTATCATCTTCAATGCCCTGTACCAACACAGAGCAGAGCAGCTATCTGAACGCTACCCCAACAGAGGTCGATTATCTTGTTAATAATTTTACCACCTCACTACGTACGACTCTGGATACTGTAGCTCCGGTGAAAACTAAGGCCTCAAATCAGAAGTACCTGACTCTGTGGTATAGTTCCCAAACACGTAGCATAAAGCAGATAACTCGTAAACTGGAGAGGAAATGGCGTGTCACAAATTTAGAAGATCATCATTTAGCCTGGAGAAATAGTTTGTTGCTTTATAAGAAAGCCCTCCGCAAAGCCAGAACATCTTACTATTCATCACTGATTGAAGAAAATAAG